ACCAAATGAACTTTGAAAAATATATAAAGATTTGGACAATATAATCTCCCTTTCATTATCCGAGAAAACAAATTAAATCAATTAGGCATGTAATCGCTAATAAATTTTAGATTGACTTTAAGCAAATTTATAAGAATTCATGCTTTTTTCAAAAAATAGGTACACATAATTTTTAATAATATTTTTTAGTCCAACGTTTTCATTATATTATTATAACCATTTATTTAATTTAGTTTATTGTTATTAATTTGTTTAGAGTGCATGCCGGCATTAACAAAAATAGTACGGAGTACTAATTTTTAATTTTTTTTTTGGTAAAAAATTTATAATCATTGATCGTATGTATAACCGTGGTTTTTACAAATAAATGAACATAATGTAAAATCTTACTTTTAACATGAGGGATGCTAAATGTGAAAGGAAAAAGATTAAAGTAGGAGTACAACAGAAAAAATATACTCCCTCCGTCCGAAAATATTCTTTCCACTTTCTTGTTTGGTCCGTCCGGAAATATTCTTCCCATTTCTTTTTTAGTATACTTTTTAAGGATAAATTTCAATAATACCCTTCTATTTTATCTCTAATCTACTTTTTTATTGCTTTTTTAATAAGAAAAGGAGATTTAAAAGTTTATAATATATGCATTTTTAGAAATTTGGCATTTTTTACTACTCCTTAATAAGCGTGCCAAGTCAACTCCGAAAGAATATTCCCGGACGGAGGGAGTACTAAAATATGAATTCTATGTTTTTATTTCTGGAATGGAAGTTAAAATTTATATACAATGTCAATTATGACCATATACATTACCAAAAATTATCGTGAACTGTCTATATACAGTACCACATTAACACATTATAACCTCATATTTTGGAATAAACACATAGAGCTTCTATATATTTTGATACTCCCTCCGTCCTAAAACTTTCTTCCCAGAACACTATTTCAACTTCACGGGAATTTATATTTATTTGTGTTTTTTCATGGCCTATGTGATAAAATAAAATATTCTTGTCACCACTTGTTTTGTTGAACTTTTGATGTAGTTTTTAAATATGTATGTTTTATTTTTTATTTCTGTACCAATATTTAAATAAAATAGATTGAAAAAACTTAGGATTTTTCTTCGTTTTGCGCAACGGAAAGAAAATTTTAGGACGGAGGGAGTACTTTTTTGTTTAATGGTTTACTTCTATATAAATGAGACCAACTTAAATCTATATATACATTATTTACATGGAGTATAGCCCAAGTTTAAGATGGAAGGGAGAGCATTCACAAGGTGGAGTGCTCACTTCGTGCGTTCCACACTTGACTCGGCAGGATTGTGAGGGATGTAAATCAAGTTATAATCTCAATATAGAGGGTGTTTGGCAGTGCGCTGCTTTTAACAATTTAGCTTTTGCTTTGAGTGAAAGTAATTTTACTCTGTTTGGCATGTCATCTTCTGCTTTTCACCAACATTATTTTGTACATGGAACACCGTTTCGGAGAAGCAGATATATGGTGCTTTTGCTTTCAGCTTTTTTAGAAATCAATTTATCAATAAGTTAATCACTCCCAAACACCCTCATAGTCTTTCGAAAAATCATCTCGTGCCCGGTGCGCATAAGGAGACTTAAGATCTATAAACTTGACATCTTCTCGCTAGATAAGTTGAACTAGAAAAAAAATGAAAAAAGGACGAGTTGAAATATTGAAGTACAAGTCAAAAAAGGAGACAAGTGGAACGTGTGAAGAAAAGGACTTAATTACGTCTTTATTATCCAAATTGTCTTCTTTCACACTTGTACTTGGTTCAAAGAATGTGATGATGGGAAAAGAAAAAATAAAATGATACGGAGTATGAAAGAAGAAAAATGGAAAGAAATGAGAGGAGAAAATAAGCTAAGCTATAAGGAGGAAAAATAAATTCCCTTCTTCTAATTTGGTCAGGAAAAGGAGAGCAATCATTTTCCTTTCTTTTCATCTTTAATTCCTTAAACCAAACATAGCGGTAGCCTAATCTATTCTTTCAAAATCATTTTCATATTTTTAATGTTTTTATCTTCTCAAAAAAATAAATTCCCTTTTTTTAATTTTGTTGCTAAGAAATAGATATGCCATTTACAATATTTTCTTTAAGCTATACAATTTTTAAATTATCGTTTCTAAATTTGGTGTAATAAAAATACCATCTCCCTTTGTCCATTAATTTCATTCTCGAATATTATTTTGGACCCTTGATAATTTTTATATATCTCTATATTTTCATTAATTATTATTTAATTTGATAAAATAAAATATTTTAATATCTAAAAAATGGTATTAGAGTCATAAGTATGATAAATGAAATTTGCTAACAAGTATCTAGAATAATTTGAAATAAAATGCATGTTGAGAAGAATATGGCCTAACAAATATTCCGTTAAAATTTATAAAAATAAGATAATTAAACTGTGAATTCGCTAATTTAAGGGGCAATTTCTTAGGTGTACCAAAGAAACCATGGACATTCACTCCTCGTCCCTAAATCATCGTATAAATTTTAATTTGGATTTTTAAAAAAATTGATTTTATTTATAAATTGGTTTAGAAATTTAAAAAAAACTACCTACATACTCCTTCCATCTGGATTTGTTTTTTCCATTTGGAAGAATGTGCAAAATCTTATCTCTTTTAAAATAAATTTATTTATAAATGGGTACATAAATAAAAATGCAAATTACACCATTAAAAACAACATCAACATAAGAAAAGATGACAGTGATATATTTTATTGATCCCAACTTTAATTTACTCGGTCTTCAGAAAAAATCTCAATTTTTAGTGTTGTATTATTATAATCACAACTATATTGAAATTTATAAGTTTTGAGTCGTCGTTAAGTTGCTAACGGTTGATTAGCAAAATGACATGTTTTACATAACAAAATCAAAGTTGTGATTATTTTTTTGAATTTTCTTTTTTACTTTTTTATTTTTTTTAGTTTTTACCTTAAACTTTTAAAATGACTTTCTACCTCCATCATTTCTCTTCATTTTTTTTCAAAAATAAGGAAAATGAGAAAAACAACTAAAATCAAACAAAATTAATAAAATGAATAAGATAATTAATAAAAATTAACCTCAAAGTGGTAAGAAATAAAATCAAAATATATGGAGTGATGGGTTCTGAAATTTTATGCACTATATGAAGTATTAATGTATCCGCATGTCAAATATGAATAAAAATAAAAATGTTAGAGTATAAATAATCTTTCATGGGCCACAACTACAAACTTGAGCTTCTGGTTGAATCGGTTCCTTGACATGATTCAAAGCCTTGTTGACTAAGAGGTCACATGTCTGAAATGTAACGCCACCCAGTTTAAAAAAAAAATTCACGTGCAAGACTCAAAAAAGTCTACGCCAGCATGTGAGGAGACATGTTAGAGTATAAATAATCATTTCTGGGCCACAACAACAAGTTTGAGGTTTTGGTTGAAATGGTTTCTCGACAAAAAAAAGTTATTTTCTTATTAAAACCTTAAATAAATAGAAAAATATTTCCTATTAAGAAATAAATAAAATGAAATTACGTTGAAGAAAATATTTTTTATTTCTTATATTTAATTTTAATTACCATTTTTAGGGTTTTAATAAGATTTTTTATTTTTTTTTTGTTTTAATTTTTTTTACCAATGAGAGAAAGCAATACATTAAAGCTTTGTACAGTGCTAAAATGTTAAAACACGCAATTCCGTATACATTTTTATTACATTAAATTTTAATGGTTTTAGTTGTTATCTCATTATTATTATTTTTTATATGATTTTTTTAAGTTTTTTCTAATGCAAGACTATTCACTAAAAGGAGAAAAATAAACAATGCAGGTAGAAACTCAATTAAAAAATAAAAGAGAAAATTTAAAAAAACAAAAATTCTTAAAAAATAATACCAACTTTCATTTTATAGTGCAAAACAGTCCGTTAACTAGTCGTTAGTAGTTTCACGATGATCCAAAACTTACAAATTTTAGTAAATTTGAAATTATTATGCATACAGTGACTGATGAGAATATTTTTTAAGAAACCCAAAACGTTACAATTATTCTAGGTAAAGTTTCTTATTTTTTTTATCAACTGAACAATAAAAACATACATAGAAACATAAATTATTAAAATGTCAAAATAGTAACTGAAAAAATCATGTGAAATTTGCACTGAATAGGACTAAAATATAAGTCATTTCTCAATGTAGAACTTAAACTTTTTATATCTAAATAAGACTTAATAATGACTAGTGAGAAGAATAATGTCCAAGTAATGCTGGACATTTAGTTGATTAATAACTAATACATAATGACCAATGGTCCTGCATTGAGAAATAAAAACATATGATCCTATATTGAGAAAATCATCATGTTTTAGTTCTATTTAGGTAAATTACCCAAAAATTATTTTGAAATGGAGAGAATATCAAAGTGCACAAAAAATACGGAGGATTACAATACAAAACAAGTGATGACATACTTATTTTTTTTAATAAAATGATCATTGTTATTTTATCAAATTATAACGAAAACACATATACAATAAAAGTTATTAGAAATCTCAAATAGTAAAGAAAAAGATAATTTAAAGAAGGAAAAATATCAATCTATCATTGATTGTCCAAAGCAAGACAAATAAAGAAAGAAAAAACCAGATCATTATCTTGTAGAACGATATTTGCACTCTAATTTTCTTATATTTACGCACCAAAGTTCATTATTCACTTCTTTCACATAAATAATATATTTTAGATTGCTAATAGGAAAAAGTGGAATGTAAATGTTCTCATGAATTTACATTCATTTCATTTCCCCCAAAGGCCCAAACAAATTTGACTTTCACAAATTTGATCATAATATGACACGGGTCTATTGGAAAATATACGGGTACTCCGTATATTATTGTATTTGGTTGAAAAATGGTGTAAAAGAAGATAAATAAAATCTTGAGTTTAAATTATTTGATTTTCACCTCACAAACTCACAAATATAACTAAGAAACTTTAGTTAAAAAGCTCATAATTTATAATAACTCCAGTAACGAACCAAAGGTTTTGGGCAATAAATATACGTAACTCAAAAAGAAGCATACAAAACAGGGAAAACATTTTTTTTTCAGGCCTAAAAAAATGTCACATAACAAACAAACAAACCCTTTCACAGTTTATTTACATAACCATAAATTGGTACTGGCAGTAATATTTTTAACCCCACCATTGGTGGACTGCAACACCTTCATCCCTGAGCATACCATATAAAGCTAAACATTCCCAATATGCCCTCCTACTTTTCTCACCCCCCTTCTTGATTCCTTGATGCTTGCACTCCAAGAAAAGCTCATCCACCAGCCTGATTGCCCTGCTCTTCACCATCTCCTCCGCCACCTCCGCCACCNTCTGGAACATCTCGAACTCCGTGTTCCCCGCGGGGTAGTGCTTCGCAAACCACTCCGACGCGGCCGCGGCCGCGCTCTTGTCCCCGGACATATAGCTCACGTCGATGAACACTCTCCTTGGGTAGTCCTCCAAGGAGACGCCCATCAGCTCCGGCAAGTACCTCGTCTTCTTCCTGTACGCGTTTGATTTCCCCGACGCCGCCCTCGGCGGCTCGAGCAGGAAGTCTTCGAGCCTCTCGAGGGCCGCGGCCTTGGCGTCCGATTCCGTCGCCGCAAGTAGCCGCCGCCCCTTCAGACCGTTGCGGCGTCTTATGACATCATCAGACGCCGCAACTGCAACGTCATTGTTGCTGTCACTACTAGTAACCAGAATAACACGGTCGCGCTTTTCGACGATACCCTCATTAAAGACGTGGTTCAGATTATTAGACCACGACGATGACGATGATACATTCAGCCAAGGAAAAGAAACCATAATAACCGTCAGAATAACGGCACGAGCAACCAACCTCAGAAACCGAGGATCACGACATTTAGCGACCGAGGAACGAGCAGGGAGGCCATAAATCAATTTCTTCTGGTTGTTTGATTGGGAATCAAAGAGAAGACACATTTCCATTTCTTTCAAACCCATTGTTAATTATTAATAGCATATAAATATCTCTAGACTAGACTTGCAAATAAATCTATAGGGAGACTTGAAAATTCAAAGAAAGAAAGAAATCGAAGCAGAGAAATTTGTGAGAGGAAAGCGGGAGAAGACGATGAAATTAGCGGGTGCAAAACCTGGCAGCGGTGTGATTACCACCCACAAGGGAAACAGGATTCTTGTGAGACCTCAAACAGAGAATCAACAGATCTTTCAACCTCTGCAACTCCATTTCCTAAAACTACACACTGCCTTCCTTTTTAAGGTTTCCAGATTGATGATGTTTTGGGTTATTCTTTTTCTTTTCTTTTTTCACATATGGATAAACTCCATCGAAGCACCGATTGGAGAAGGGAGGCAGGCGAGGAGGAGGGGGGGAAGAGCTAGGAGGCACACACAACTTCTAGGAGGGGGATTATTGAGATGTTTTTCTTTAATGGATTTTTTGGTTTTGACAAGGAAAAAGGGCATATAACAATGAATCATGAGGCTGCAAAGGATGAGGTGGTTCGGTTGGCTAAGCATAAATTTCTCTACCCCGCAAAGGAAAACCATCGCGTAGGAAATTGTTACCAATTGAGCTCAAAAGATTTGTTCTTTTTATGTGGCGAAGGTTGAAGAATGATGCATAGAGAAAAACTAATGCCACCATAATAGGAAGCTTGATAGATAACGACAACGACAACGGTAAAATGATTTTTTTTTTGGGAGACCATTTCCTTCCTGCCAAACACTCCCTAAATGTTTTTTTCCCAAGTTGAGGGTGGTAAGAACTTAGCAGCTTGTTTTGCATGAATGTATGATGTTAGCTAATAACTCGAGACAATTAAACACTACATAATTGGAAATTTTTGAATTTGGGATAAAAGTGATGATGAGGTTGTTCATTCATCTAAAATGCACTTCAATTAATCAACCTATGGAATTCTACCATGTAATACAATGTAGACGTGATGTATGTCCGTGTTCATTCTACTTTTGGTGTATCATAAAAGTCACAATGGTCGGTTAAATGTGAACGGATGTACTAAATGTTTAATCAAACACCCTTCTTAAATCACATATATCAAGAACTGATCATCCATGTCAAGTTACCATATCCATAGTAACATTCCATTGCATAACACTTATTCTAAGCTGCAAAATAATTCCGGCATTAGTACACGAATTGTTACCTCTCACATTGGCGATTTTGGCATTGCATAGAAATCTACTGCTACCAAGAAACTACTCATGATTTTCATCATCAAACTCTAACCGGTTTCTGTAAGACAGCAGATAAGTACACCTCCGGCTTTTGGGAACCGCTGTCGCTCTTCTCCCCCACAACCCATTTCAACTTCTTGTACCCAAATCTCTCAATCAACTGAGTGAATGCATTTCGCTTCTGGTCTCCATAACAATACACATTATCCAACCAAAACAAGCCGCCGGCCCGGAGAACCCTATCAATGTCAAACATCAAGAACTCCAATTTCTCTGCAGGGCTGACACCTATATCCAGCCCATTCCCAGCACGGACCAAATCAAACACATTGTCGTAAAACGGGAATCGGTGATCCATACTCAAATAAAGTGGGAAAAGGCCTCGGGAAGCAATGAACTCGTTGAAAGGTGCATCTATGTTCAAAGTGGAAGTAACCACAGTGACATTCCTCTCAGCCATTCTGGCAGCAAAAGTTCCAGACCCACCGCCACCCACATCAAACCCAACCCTAATTCCACCATTGTTACCCCCCATCGAAAGCACATCGTCCAGCAAAAAGTCATTCTTGCCCCGAACTTTAACATATCTCTGAGTCTCATACCCAGAGGACATATCAAAGCAACCTGCACAGTCTCTATTCAATTTCTTAGCATTCAAACAAGCGAAATTCTTGCAAGAAAGGCCACTCCAAGTGTAACCCTTTTCGCTATTACTAGCCTTCCAAAGAGAAATGGGAAAAGGTTGTAAACCAGATTTAGGGGTAATCTTTGAAAAGCACCTCCTCCTCGGAAGAGGCTCACAGCCCTTCAAAATCAGATTTTGACCAAGACTCCAATCATCCGGGCAAGGCCCACTGACCTTATAGCTCATGAACTTAGAGAGCAAATCGATGGATTTCTGGCAAGAATGACCCACAGAAGCCACCATTGTAGTGATCCCAGTTCTTGAATCTTTGCCCAGGGGAAGCTGGTGACGAAGCAGGAACATCCTCAGCTCAGGGGCGATGTTGGGCCTGGAAAGTTCGATGCTTTCATAACCTAGAAGCTCTTTCTGAATGTGGGCAACCTTCTTCTGGGTCGAATCGATCTCACTGAGGATGAGGGAGACTTGTACGGAGATGTTATTGTGGGTTTGGTGAAGGAGTTGATGGGTCTTGTTTGGTTGGTGCGTGAAAGCGTATAGGGCGAAGAGATTGGTGGTGAGGACGGAGAAGATCATGAGAAGATTCACAGCTGATGAGCAAAGGGAAGCCCTTTTCTTGAATCTTGCTGTCCCGTCTCCGATTTTCAGAGAAACAGACCCCATCTTCTTAAGCTGGTCCCAAACACGCCGGAGAAGTTCAGTGAGGGCGGCGCGGGGCGGCGGTCAGTCGGAGATCTGGGGAAGCAAATGGGGATTCAAACTAAAATAGAAAGAGAGATGCTTTTTATGATGATGATGCATTTGGGTGTTTCCCCATTCTCGTGCCAGAGATTCTTGAAGTCACCAAAGTTACCTGGCAGTACGGTGGCGGCGTATTATTTACTGGATTTCCGTTTCTCTTGTGTCCGGAAGTCTCTGCCTTTTTCTTTGGAAATTTAGTCAAAACTAAAATCGATGAGCTTTTGTAGTTTTAACATCGAAAATTGTAGAGAACAGTTTGAACCGATTTGAGAAAATTTTCAGTGAAGAGTTTCAGTGGATTTCAGTTATTTTTTTGACAATTTTGATTGATTTTGACGTCTCACGTACTTTTTAAAATTATTTTATTTAAAAATTAGTACCGTATAAAAAGAAAAAACAAAATTTACACATTAAAAAAGAACATCAGAACTTTTACAAAACAAGAAATGACACAAAATTTTATTTTATTAAATAATCAATGGATTTACATAAATAAACAAAAATTATCGAGTAGTGAGAAAAATTTACAATCAGTTTTGGAACAGAAGGGGTATTTTAGTGGAAATCTTATATTAATATCATAATTTACTCTATCCGTTAATAAACTATATTTTCGTTCAGTATTCGCATAGTAAAATTTTATTCAGTCTATTTACTTATCTTCATTGCTCATTTTATTTATTAATAGTACAAAGTATAAACATGTCACTTTTAGGTTTGTACTTGTAGATCTTTTAATATACTGGGGTAGTTTTTAAACACATTAAGGAGTAATTTAATTGACCTATAGGGAGTAATTTAATTGATTAAAAATGGATAAGTAAATGGTTATTATAATATTTTTAAAATGTTTATATAGCTGTTTTTTTAAAAAAAATTATATAGCAACTAAAGTTCATAAGTTCTTAGATGCACCTAAAAATTTATCATTTTAGTTGGATTAAGCACAAAGCTTATAAGTCACCAATCGAATCTCTTATGGTAGAATGGTTTTCATTGTTTCAAATTTTGACCAGGTCAATTTTTTTCAAGTTTAATTTAATCAATTTTTTCAACTTTAAAAGAATAAGACAAACTACATGCTTATGGAAGTGTAAAACAAGATTATAGTCCTTGGCTTGTGGGACCAAAACAAACTTTGATGACTAATGTTTCTTTATATCTTCTCTTTAAAAAAATAATAAGACATTCTCTTAATAAAAACATGATAAACCAAAAAAAACATATGAAGTACAATGTATAATGTAAAAGGAAAAGCAAAGTGATAGCTACAAGTGGCATACATACTACATACAATTGGACATTTGGGCATGGCTGAATGGAAAGTTGTGGAAATGGATGAAGCTATACATACATATCAAAAGACAAAAATGAGAACATGTCTTTCTTTACAAAGGCTCTTCATGTCAGCATTTCAAGATTCTAGGAACACTTGAAACAAAGATTTGATAATGAGTGAGAGCCACTATATCTAACTGTACTTGAAAACAAAAACCAACAAAAATTGGAATCTCTATTGATCCAATAGGAATTTTGCTACACCCAAAAAAAGGGCACCAAGCTTTGCTCCAGACATATATACTCATTCAGCACCAGCAGGGAATGGAAGCTAGTGCAGTGGTTCAAGGACGACAAATTTGGAAAGCTTGCTAATCATCTTCCAGTGTTGTTGTCCCCGAACAAATACATCAGATGCTATAATGTGGTTAATGCAAGAAGAAAAGAAAACCAAAAACCGAAAGGAATAGCTTCAGCATGACCAAGGTGTATCATCTGGAAGCTGTCCTAGGGGGCACCTTATTTCGGCTTTTCTCGGAAAAACATTCTGTTTTATCTCGGTCCATATTATTATTGTTGTTGTTGTTGCTATTATAATTGTTGTTGTTATTACTACTATTGTTGTTGTTGTTGTTATTAGTATTAAGCCCATCTGAGCTCCTTGATGTATCTTGAGGAGTTTGAAGTGATTGTTGACCATCCACATTCTGTACGGCAGCTTGGTTGCTGTTTGGGTCTCTATGTTCTGATGAAGGGCTGCTTTCGAATATGTTTTGCAAGGATGGGGGAGGGTCTGACCCTTTTCTCTCAATCGACCGGGCAGGCTGCCCAGAATTCCTCTCCTTGTCAATTGGTTGGGCCTGATTTCCAACTTGAGTGTTGCGTTCTTTCAAGAAGTTGAGCCGGTTTGTTAGCTTTGACAGTGCTGAAGTCGCTGTCGCCCCCTGCCAGTCATTCAAAGATGTTTATAAAGATATAACTCATCAATTAGTAGTGGCTTACAAAAAATAATTGTGCAATTTATTAACCCAAAAAAGAAAAGATGAATGTTTAAAGCATGCCTCATTTTTCGAGCCAGATTTCTTAGAATTGGTTGATGAAGAAGAAGACGAGGAAGGCCCCTTCACAGCCAGCAAAGATTCGACAGAGGCAGCAAATGAAGCTGCAGGAGAGTTAAAATTCAGCATCAGTTTATTTGCTGATGGCTGAACTTCACTTTTCTTGTCCCTGTCACTTTCTGCTTTCTCCTTTCTGTAGCCACATGGAGAGAAAATCATCAGCAGCCCAAAATCATCAGCGTTTGACTTAGCGCTATGACTAAAACTGGTTTTCGTTTAGGCTGAAAAAGAAGTCCTACCAAACGGACCCTTGAATAGATTTTTCTATTTGGGAGGTAGATGTGGTGGGAATGAACATGAATGGCAAAAACAACATAGAGAACCAACCCAAGGGAATGATAACGATGACATTACATTTTTCCTTGATGAGTTGTTTTTTGGCGTGCTTGATTGCCCGAATCAATATGAAACCTGGAGTTGTGTTCTCTCTGCTCATTGAGTTCTGCTTCAATATCAGCGGCCTTCTGTTTCAAATTCATAACATCCGCCTCGGCTAGAGCAATCTCTTCCAGCTTTGCTTTCACCTGTTGCAGGCAACAAAGAAAATTGTTATAGTTTCTGGTCTTAGCATAGCAACAATGGATGGAGATGAGGTATGAACTGACAGCTTTGCTGATACTGGAAGGTATGGACAATGATCCTTGAGGATTGATAAGTCTGGCTTCCAGTATCACCCTCAACTCCTGTTCCTTCTCCAATAGATCCTGAAGCCTTGCAACCTGTTATTCCAAGCAGAAAAGGAAAAAATATATATATTCTTTCAATTTGGATTTATAGCAGAACCTGTTTCTGTTTGCCAAATATAGCTACTTCCATTCATTTCATTCGGACATTGCACCATTCTACCAAGAGAGCGTTTGGGATATGACTTATTTTAAGAGAATTCGTGTTTTTCATAGGAAAAAAGTATGTTTAGTTTTGGTCTTATAGTGCTTAAAGCAATAATAATAGAAACACTTCAAATCTACAGAAAAAAAACTGTATTACCTAACAAAGCACTTATCATCTTATCTAAAAACTTCAGAAAGAAAAGAAGCACTAGATGAAACAACATACTTCTTTCTCTAGAGTTAGACGGCGCTCATGCAAGGTATTCTTCTGTTTCTCCATACTTTCTTGTAGATCTGCATTCACCTTAGCCTATCAAGACAAGGTAAAATTGCAATACCAAAGCATGAGCAATAAAATAAAATAAATAAATAAAATCTTAAATGAAGAGCCTATGAAGTCTCTATGTTATAAAATGATGGATACCTCTTCGGCGATTCTGTTTCGTAAGTCAGTATTCATGGCCTCAAGCTTCTGGATTTCAGCACTAAAATAAAGAAACGATAAGAACAGAATATCAAAATTCTTGTCGGTGTCTTGGTGCAGATGAGAAGAGCTCGTGGAAAATTATAAATAAAGGATAGAGATTATGCAAGAAGATTGTTTTTTTAAATATTGCTGCAAATAGATGGAATTGACACATTCTACCAACAATACCAATTCTGAAAACTAAATTGATTTTTATATTCAATGCAAGGCATCTAACCTATGGCATATAATCCTAGAAAGCAATTTAGTTCATAAAGATCTAGATGAAGATAAATCTAATCATCACCAGCATTTACAGACAAGTGAGAAAAGTTTACAAAAATTTATAGTTAGCCTAACACGATATAAAAGGTGGTGAGCTGCAAAAGAATCATAGTTTTGAATCCACAATAGCTTTCCTAAAAAGAGAATCACTTACTCATCATCAAGGGGGGTATTAATAGATTCCGCGGAATGGTTCTTCTTGGCCTGTGTTGAAGGAAAGACAAACATGAAGACCATTTCTACCAATATAGTTCAAAGGTGAAAACTTAACTAGAAAACAGTGAGGCACTAGACATGTTATAACATTAAGAAACAGTGCAATCTAAAATGACAATGGAGTTAAAGAAGTTAAAGAAAGAGAATATTGGACTAAATCCAAATGACATAAAATTTACCTTGCTTTTTACCTTCAATGAAGTTCTGAGTAGTAAATAGTAAATACAACAATGCATCAAGGGTTTTAAAAAAAAACAATCAGGTCAATCACTCTGTTTTAAAGGGGTAAGACTGCATACATTTTGAATCCCAGACTCCAATGGAGTTGGAATTGTGCTGGGATTTGTTGCTGTTGTACAGTTTAAACAAAAGAAGAAACGGGAATGGATAGTATATACCCCAGTAAATAGGGCATGAACAGACGAAGAAATGAGAACAAGATTGGGACTTCATTGGAGATAGTAAATGTCATCTAAAAGATATCTTAGTACTCACATAAGATGCACCCGTAGATTTTTTAGCAGGGGATGAATCTGCATTTTCTGCCTTGGGTTCAGTTTCTGGCTTCGTAGGTGTTTCTTGCTTACCAGATGTTTGAATGGCTACTTGTTGAGATTTGTTATTAACTTCAAGAGCATTGCATGCTTCAGGTGACTTGGGACTAGAGACCTGTAGTACAACAAGGTTTGGAATACTAGAGGATGGTTGCAAAATGAAAAGTAGTAATGAAATCTATGATTAACATGGTAAAAGAATGACATAACTGAGACTGAATGTTGATGCTTCGACAGAAAGCATGATATTTTTTAATTTTATCTTCTTTCTTTTTTCACTTTTGCCTTTTAGTCTTCGAAACATTCTTCTATAAACATACACTTTTTGAAATGCAAAACTTATATGTTGGCCATTGACATAAGAGTTTAAATTATTGTTTGACCAACCATGAACCAAAAGATAGGTTCTCCCCCAATCAGTTCAAGATTTGAAAGATGAAAACTGTGGCCCTGAATGGTTGAAATTATCAATAGACTTGAAAAGTCATGAATTTTCAGTATTTAATATATAATCCGTGAAAAATTTCATTAACAATTTACAACTTTATTAAATATAAAACGTGTTTAACGTAGCAGAGTATTATATTATTTGCATTTATTTCCTTCCATAGTTTAGAAGTTCTATTTATTTTGAGAATGACTTATGGTGGTATTAGGAAAAGAGTTATGGCAGGATTTGATGTTTTCCATAATTAGAAGATACATTTGAATCTCTATATATACTCGTATCCCATACTTTGGATTCAGAAATCAAAAACAGAAATGTTATTCTTCTTAATTCTTTTCAATTATTAACAAAATGATTAAAAATTCACAAAAGTCTAGCCTTAGATTGGAAGTTTCAATCATTCAGTTCCTAAATCGATAGTTATATATATTGACCATTGATCGATAGCTAAACTATCGTTCGGTTTCAAGGTTTTGAAAAACTCCCAGAGAGAGAGATAACCGATTATACCACACATGATAACTAGATGACTACCATGGATGACTTGATAGGCCTCTATGCCATACAACGAGGGTAACATGAACAAACCTTACTAGCACCTTCATTTTCACCAGTCTGACTAGTAGCTCTAGATGCGTGCTTAGAATTATTTGTTATTTCTGCATCAGACCCCTCTTCGGAACTATCCCCTTCTTCATCTTCTTCCTCGTTGTTGTCATCATCATAATCACTACCTTCATAATTTCCATCATCATCAGTAATTTCTTCACTACCGCTTTCACTACCATCTGAGTCAGAGTAGAGTTCAGTTTGCACAGAGCCTTCCTGCAACCAGTTCAAATGATAGCTGATTACATGTAAAGAAAGGAAATAAAGCAGCCACTAAAAGTATTACCATGCATGGAAGAAAGAGCGATCTCAAGATACGTGTGAAGACTTTAGAGATGCATAAAAATAACTGACTTATTATAAACCATACCCCAAAAATCTTATCATACTCTTCTAGCAAAGTGATGACAATAGCTTGAGCATGGTTTGCTGCGGCAGCTGCTTGCAAAAGTTGAATAGAGCCATCGCCACCCATATCAAAGTTATGTTCAAGTTCGCACTCTCCAGATAATAGAGGACGCAGTAGCAAAGGCGCCATGCAAGCAGCAACAGCTGAAGTGCTCATCCGGTTCTCGTTCTTGTGAGAAACTACATTTCTCATCATTACAAGAATTCTGGTCCACAAAGGCAAGATTTATTTTTCAAAATTTAGTGCTTGAAGTCAAATGCAAAAAGGAATATAATCAAATGAAAAGTATGCGCCAAAACCCAACAGCATATATCTAGTATATTCGAGCAAGAAATATTAGTGTTTTTGATAGAGGTGTAAACAAGTAAAATCTCTCAGTTGAGCTCTACAACCACTAATAATAAAATAAGAATGCTCTGTAGAGTTTGTATATTGATCTTTAATAGCTTTCTTTCCATATGCACAAAGTAATTATTAAAATGAGCAAGAAAATGAAAGGCATCAAATTAATATAAATGAAACCTTTGTAATAAACGTCGATTTGGCTCAGGAAACGTCTCCAGTATAGCTGAGTGAATAGCACTTACTCTCATACCTCGCTCAACTCCTAACAGTAATAAATATAAAAGTATTAAGTTAATACTAATTAATAAAAGATCTGATATAGTATACAGATCCAACCATCTTTTTTAATTCAAAACACTATACGATGTGTGCAGCAATCTCAAGGCCTGACTAGTATACTCCAGATTTCCCATCACTAAGTTTAAAAGTAACATATAATACATGCAGTCAAAATAGGATTGTGAACATGAGCTGTTACCCCTATAAAAATCAGGGAGGCTGTTTTCGTTAGACCTGTGATGTGTTCATTGTCTTCATAGAAAGTAAAAGGCAAGCTAGGTTTAATGTGTGATTTTGATTTAGTCCATTTTACCCCTGAACCTAAAACTTTATTGAAATTGACTCTTTTATCTACATTGGCAATGGATGTAACTTAATTGTACATTAATTTGGTTTCTACAAAGAATTTGACGTATGTCGAACTAAACAAAAAGATGCAAGTCTGTGTGCGGCCCAGCCTGGTAAAACTACAGCAAATTATGCCATTCTAGCCAAAACTTAATCATCCACCATCACAATTATCTCTACTTTATTCTGTAAAAACATAACACATGCCTAGACTCTGGAATAGATAACTTCGTAATGGAAAAATGGAGAGAAACTTACGGCAAGATTCTAACAGAGCATTGCAACACGATGCAGGAACTGGAGATGATGGTAACTCCCGGAGTATATACTGGAGCAAATAAAAATATTAAAGATGAGAAAAGTCTATACAAATATTTGACATACACATCAATTATATTTTTCATAAAAGGTTATACCTTGACACAGTCAGCTATGACATGTGCATCCTCTTCGGCAGAAAACTCAATTTTCCCTGGAAAACACCACACCCAGCTACTACTTTTCAAAAGATCTATTTTCCAAGCATGATTTGTATAGTTTTAAGCAGCTTAAATGCACTTTTAAGGCAAAACTCCCCCAGCTAGTTCTATACTACCATATCTTTATTATAAATCATTTGCCAACAAAACCCCAAAGCGTCGATTAGAAGCAAATTGCAAAGTCAGACCTTTTTCATACTCTCGGATCCGACGCTCAACATCATCCACATATGCGGCTTGCCGCAAGATACCTTCAACTTTAACTCCTGAAAGATAATGTATTGAATCCATCATCATCTAACAATATGCATATAAGAAACCAAATATAGAGCTAATAAAGACAGTTTGAGAATTCGTTTCTAAAAAAAATAGCTTCCTAAGCAGTCACTTTCATCATTAGAATTTTTACGACAGCCTCTAAGTAAGAAAAGGGCAGGTTATGCTTAGGTCCCTAGAACCCATAGTCAGAACAAGTTCACACATGGAGCATGAAAATTCTTTATATCTTTTTTTTTTTGCAGGTCTCCTTTTTAAGAGAGACTAAGGTTAGTGCTTCAGCTCAATATGTGCCTTGTACAGTTGTAGTTGTATTGTTTCTGTTTTGGCTAAGTTGAGTGCTTTGAAGTAGTCATGCAGGGTGACTTGACTAAGAACTGTTTAGTTACAATTAGATTTTCATTTAAGCGCTGAGCCAATGGCAACCTTTAAATGCTAAAGATAGCCTTCCTCAAATACATAAGAAACGGTATTTTTATTTTGCTGAAGATACATGACTCCAACATCAAGCTAAAGCAAGTTTAGGTCTCTTGAAATAAAGAGAGGGATACGTTTTTAGAAAATAAAGGCATAAAAGCACCAGGAAACTTTACCATGTTCTTCTACAAACCTAAGAGCTTTCTCCAAAAATGACGGAGTCCCATCTATACCTTCCAAAGCAAGTAAAACTGGCTGACCAATGACCAAAGATTTCACGGGTGATTTGTCCTTGGCTACAGAGTGAAAAAGAATGTGGTTTGAAGTTATATCCATAAGAAAGATATTCAAACACTTAAGAAAAATCATTCTCGACAAGTAGAACTGTAAGGTAACAATAAACGTGTACATTTTGAAAAATGCATAGCAGTCAAACTGAATCACCAGGAGAAATTCATCACAGTCAAACAGCTATATATCATGATTCTAAAAGATGATTTTTTGTAGGAAAGCTCCTGAATCTAATACCGTAGTATATGTTTGCAGGAAATAACATTGTTTTGTAGAAAACAAAACCAAGCCCACTTTTACTAGAAGTCATCCTATATGGTAAGAGAAAAAAGTAGAATTGAAACTGAAAGTATTTTGGAGTACAAAGCTAAAAATAAAAACATGTGTATTGAACTTGATTTGGGCACTACTTCTTGTAAGTGTTGCACTTCATATGACATGCAAATTGAATGAGATCTGAAAAGAAACGTTATTTTTTCACAACATAGAATTTCAAAATGGAAAAGCAAACTCATCTTTTTATTTCCTTATTTCTTGTTCTTACTACTTCTGACAACCTTGAAGTTGTCATAGTACATAAGGAAATGGCAACAACAACAACAACAAACCCAGTAAACACCCTACTTTTTGTTGTGTTTATCATCGTTGTCGTTGTCATTTCCTTATGTATTAGACAGCTCCAAGGTTATCGGAAGTAGTAAGAACAAATCAATTATAACGGCAATGCCAGCAGCAGGGAGGGAATAAAAAACATCTGATAAGTCATTTGACCTATGAAAACATTAGCAAAGCACTTACATTGTTCTGAGGAAACATCAACCGCATTTGTTTGATCATTCCTGATTATTCCATTTTGTCCCACAATGAGAGTAGCACTTGGGGAATTTACCAAAGCTTCTTCGAGTGCAGCCTTCCACTCAAGCAAGTCTTCTGATGTTTCAGCCTAAGATATCAAGAGCACTCAACATGAGACAACTCAGAGAGCATATTATACACAATCCTAATATAGAAATCTATCCTATCCTCCTACTTCCTAGTCCCTACCAAATTACCAAAATAAGATAACAAGAAAACAAGAGCTAAGCAGAACAAATGCTACAAACTAAAGGAAGATAATTAGAATAAAGCCCATTACAAAAAAGAAAAATAAAAAATAAACAAAAGGCATAAAAAAGAACGAACACCTTAAGAGTGAAAGTTCGCCCGTCACGACCATCAGGAAAGAGTACAGTCAGTAGCTTCTTATCTTCTTTGACAAGCACACTGTAAATTAATCAATGACTGATTAAAAAGCTAACAGTATTAAGACAGCATACTTTAAGGGAAATAATTTGATTAAAAGTGCCTGTGCTAGTAAACTTTGTTGAGCATCATGATAAAAATAAGCTAACCTGCCTGAACTGTTGAGATCGATACCCCCAAGTGTTAAATTCGCTTCACCTACTTTCAATGGGACCGCATTCTAAAACATCCAGCCAAATATTTTTAAAAAAATGAAAAATAAAAGAATGAGAAAGTAAGAAACTAGGTGTTTGTGTGTGTGTGTGTTTTTGTCTATATGTGTATCACAAGCCTGCATGGGTTTTCTTCAGAAAGCAAGGCTATATAGCATAGTGAACTATATCCACATAAACATAAAACATACCAAGAACAGACTGACACACTTATTGTTTTTTTTTTAAGAAAAAAAAAAGTAATGATAATTCAATTTCCCCCCACATAACATCCTAACCAACAACAATAGAAACTAAATCATTATCCGCCACATCAAATGCAAGTGCCGCCATATGTTCCAAGCTAATAGTCTCAGAAGTTTATCAAAGAAAGAAATATATCTATACGGATGCTACATGGTAAACTGGATCTGCACTTATGAGCAGTACATGCAAAATCAGTCAGGCAATGATAAAGAGCAATAATACCAACAAAACATAGTAAAGTAGAGCTGAGAAATAAGAAAGGGAAACGTACAGGATCACTTCTAAAGAAGACTAATGAGGTGCGTGTTAAAATGAACCACCTTTTCTTCCAAGAAGTCCATCCAATACCTGCATGCATTCCTAATTAGGACATTCAAGGACCTTTCCAGCAGCCACCAAATTTCACAGTATAAATGTTTCCTTTTGCATTTTGTCACACACTGAAGTTTCATTAGAATCTCATAATTGGTATCATAAAGAGAGTTAAGCAATTTTAATACCTTGCATTTTTTGTCACTGGTTATCCTTTTTTGGAAACATATTAACCCACAACAATTTATGACAAAAAAGTTTCCTACAACCATTCACTTAACTGATCTGAGTTGAGAAAATCATCAGATTTGAAATGACTCGTATTTTCATGTGATAGGCAGTGTTGAGAAGTCCAGCATTTATACCATTGGGAAAGAGAATTTTTTTTAATGCAATGTGTTATTGTGGTCAACTAACTAATAGGTTCAATTTGATCTTTTAGCATTTATCTGACTCAAATACATTATAACATGATGTATTTATCTATACCTTATTATGTGTTAGTTTAGCATTTGTCCAACTTCTCACAATGATATGACAGGATTGGGCTTGACTTTATGATTAAATGAAAGTAAATTAAAATTGAAAAGGTTTGAGTTTTGAGACACCAAATAAGTCATTTTGTCTCATTTAATGCACGATTTCCTGCCTGGTTGAATAAATTATTGGCCCCAAAGAGGACCTTAATACATGTGATCCTTAAAAATGAATTTTTTTTATGAACGCAAGTGCCAAAAGTCAGAAAATGGCTATTTATGAAAATACTCAATCAATTATAAAGTCCATATATACCCAAGAAATACAACTATACATTCAATAGGCCAAACTGATATATACTAATTCGGATTGCTTATTATCCACTAACAAACTTGAGTTTGTTACATTTTACAAAAGAGCTCAAGATTCAACTAATTATGGAGTAAACAGAGGCATCTTGTCAAATGCTTTACCGGCAAAGTTCCCAGCTCACCGAAACGGAGGCAATGCATTACTTTGAAATTCGGAAACAATTATAGTAGCTAAAAGAAGGAACTTGGAGAGTGAGATATAACTCATAGGTAAATAGACATATGATAAATTCCATGGCAATGTAGTATTATAGCCTAGAAAAGCTAGAAGAGGGCAAACAAACCTTTGGATGATATATACAGGGGACCGCTTTTGTAAACCTGGCAAGGAAAGGCAAAATTGGATTGAACCTTTGAAATGAAAAACAAAAAAACAAGAGCAATATTTAGCATGTCATTATTACCTTATTGCCCCCGCGAGACTGATCCGGATCCCCGGAGGCAACAGGCTGTGGATTATTAGGCCCTTCTACCTGCAACCCGAAACGGGGAAAGAATGACAACGATAAATCCAATACAATGCTGAATTGTTGATGTTGAATCAAAACACCAAAACATTCTGAAAATGAACAAATATGAACAAATTCGTGCCTGGGAAACATCAATGTTGCGGTTGGTCATGTTGTGAACCAGAATATCGACATCCACAATCTCAAAAGGGAAGAATTTCCCTACCACACATTTCCCAAATGTAACCAGATTCAACTACCAGGCAAGAATCGCCATTTTCGATCGGGAAAAGGTAAAGAAGAAAGAAAAGAAAAAAGAATCGGAAAGTAACACAAACCAATTCAACCCATCGACGCATCAATCCGAAAAGAGAACATGAAAAGGATAAGAATTGTGAAGAAAGCGGGGGGCGAAGAAAAGCTTTTCTTTTTTTTTCCCTTGCGAGATTGAAGATTGTTTTTTATTTTATTGAAAATTAAATAAAAATAATAATGGTTTTTTATTTTTTGGGGAAATTAATTTCTGGTAACGCCGGCCCCCATGGAATGGAAGACTTTGGTTAACGGAAACCCAAATGTCAATCAGAGCACTGATCTAAAATGAGATGGGAGAAGACAGCGCAATTTCCCCTTTCATTTCCTTACACGCGTGCCGTACATCCCTCTTCAACTCTTTCTTTTTTGGAGGGAAATTTTATTTCCTATTTAAAGATTTGATTTAATGCTTATCTACCTTTTTTTTTTGTTTGATCACTAAGGGAGGGGGTGACCCCCAAGGGAGAAAAACACAAAATTTGCTTGATTTCCTAATTCTTTGTGAATTCGCAACCCGCGTCATGTTGTTAGCATAATTTTTTTCGCTTTCAGAGATAAGTTTTGAAAATCTCTCACTCATTGACGCAAGTCGATCAACAACCTTGTTCTGCTCGCGGTAGGTCACTCAAATAATAACTCGGTATTCCTGGTCAAGCCACCTTATCGCTTCCGCAATGCAATGCTGGATAAGCCAGTGCCTAGCTCATTCATGGATCCAGTCCACAAACATTTTTATATATGACTGAATTTTCAGATACGTAAATTCATTTGTCCTGCCTTTAGTGTTTGACATTTTAAAAGGTAATCTGATGAAATTATTTAACCTTAATGTTTTCAAAATTAAATTGCATTATAAAAAATAATGTAAAACACTAATACTAACTGAAAATATTGTTTTCAAACGAACCCACAAGTTAGAATACCCACCCTTTCAACATGCATGTCATGAAATATGGTAAGTAGTCATATTTATGTTACAATGACACATCACATTGTAAATTTAGAATTGATCTAAAATTGACATTCTAGTAAAGAAAGAGAAAGAACACGTTTATCTTGAGTCATTCAGTTAAGTCTGATGGTAACGAATTGTCCTTTAAACGTTCACATGAAGGTCTAGTATATCCATTGGTTAGTTTAATTATAACCCATTTTACTTATCTTGACCATTTTATTTCAATAGAAATAGCCTACTATTTTAAAATGGTGGGGTTCTAGAGTCACTCACGTTGAGTGACATGAGATGACACTGGTTCAATTAGAGCACCTATGGCTATGGTACACCATTAACAAAATTAATGATTCCTAGTATGATTGTGAATGAATCGAATAATTTTGATTTGATTCGTAATTCATATTCATTTGTATTGATTCGTATTAAAAAATCAAATCCAAGTCCGAATATGAATAGTATTTGTTAATCATTACACTAAGAAATACGAATACAAATGCAAATATACCCATATTTGATTTTGTCTTTAAACAAATATATTCAAAATGACGAGTCGAAATATTGAATACTAAAGAATAAATAGGGAATTCACTAGTTATTTAAAAATCAAATATACTTTTTTTTAAATATCATCTTCAATATGTAAATTATGAATTTATAATTCTTTTTATCAATAGCTAATTCGAAACTATATTCATACAAAGGGTTTTGGGAAAAATTGTTTACTATAATTCACATTTTTAAGAAATAAATTAAATGCTTATGAGATATCTTAAAATTTAAAAGAATTGAATATTCCAAATATTTTTAAATGAATCGAATATATTATGTACGATAAACGAATCTCTAAAAATATTCAAACCAAATATCTTAGGTACGATAAGCAAATGGAATACGAATCTCTAAAAATGTTCGAGCGAAATACAAGTACAAATATCATCCAAAACTAACGAATACGAATAATATTCATCAATATTCAATTTGATTCAATTCGTTTACAACCCTAACACAACTCAACTTGTTGACTAGGGCAAACTTCAAACTTGTATACCTTTTTCCAAAATGATCTTTCTCCCCCCCTTTTTTTACGTTTATGAAATGTTTATGAAATCATATTCATATTTTTAGCATGTACTTTCTTGAACAAACAAATGCGAGAAAATGAACTAAACCCGGCATACACGAATCCAGATTCAAGAAAGCATGAACAAGAAAACAGGGAGCGATATGTAACCTGAAACCATGATGAAGAATGAAGCCGAAGCTCAAGCAGCGTTTATTACACACAAGGGCATTTCAATTGAAGGGGATCACACCACATAATTATAGACATTAAATGGCAGAAAATGTTCGACACCATTGCTGCCATTGTTACAGAAGAGAATATAGCTGGTGATGAAGGCTTTTAGGTGGTGGCTATGGCCGATTGGCCCGGTCAGCTGATCACTCAGAGTCATCCACACTATAACTATAAACATCCCTCTCAAGAATAATAATCAAATAAACACACAAGCAAGCTTTCCTAATCTCGTCCTATTTACATCTACCGTTCAGAACAGCTTTGATATGACGTGGCATGACGTCCACAATGCTGATGTGGCAGCTCTGAGAATCGCTGGGTTCTGGTATATTCTGGATAATAAAGACATTTCCAAAACAGCAAGATTATCAGTCAAAGATACACATCAAGACCCTACTTGGTCATGTAAAAAGCTTTAGAAGGTTAAATGCGGGGCTTCAAATATAAAATTTTGAAACTTACGGAGCTTCAAAGTGAGTACAATATCGAACTATTATTTTTTAGGTAAATAAGCGAGTTAATATTCATTTCTGATACATGGAATTGTTCCCTTCGTCTCATAAAATACTGTATTGAGCAAATTGATGAACAATAAGTCTAATGCAGAATCGTAGCTTATTTTTAAAAAATTAAAATTTTCAACATTTAAACCATCCAAGGTGCAGGATCATGTTCATCCCTCACTCCAATGGAACTACAATAGTGATTGATAAGTATGATCAATGGGTGTAAGGTATTCCCCAACAGGCATGGAATTAAAAATAAAATAAAATAGATAAGAGCGGACAAGATAAAATTGCATACCCAATTGCTGTCGCCCCCCACGATGCAACATTGTAAAGGACTTCGCTTCCATCCCATGCCTTGCGAAATTTCCCTTTTTTCTTTTTTACAGAGAATGTCTTGCTGAGGGCTGTAAGAAAATTCAGCCGTTAGGTTTGTGATCTCTGTCTCATGTAAACCATAAGTTTGTTACTCCGTATTTATAATACCATTCTCTAGAATGTAGATTGAATAAATTTAAATAAGAAAAGATTAAAGCCCACCTTCCTGCAGTTGGGTTGGCGTTAGATCCTGCAAAATATGAGGAAAACAATAAGGCATGAGTGAAACCTTCCCCTCTATGTAGGGGAAAAGCATTATATATACATAAATACAAAAATGAAAGGGCAGTTAAATTGTTAGGCGAAGGGGTAGGTGATGTGGGAAAAGTACAAGTATACCCGTACTAAAAAGGAGCAAATGTTTTTATACAATTGTGAAAGCTTATAATGGTAATTTACATCCATTAACTAAACTATTTCCTGACCCCTACCTGCCCTTTATATAACTTCTTGTTCATATATCATGTCCTAAAATGCTAAAATTACAACCTTTAATCGCAGTGTAACTGTGTATGACATCCCCCCACCCCCACTCAAAAAAATGAAGGCCATAATACACTTCAAAGGGGTCTACGAAAACAAGATGTATGCACCCATTCATCTGACATATCAATTATTAAAAATTAGCGTTTCATGGGGGAGGGTGGGTGCAAATGAAATACAACCTTGGCCTGTTTAAGAGACAGCAGATATGCGGCCATGAAACATGCAATACCCTCCACTATGTCTTCTTGCCGAACTAAAACATAGTCTTCATTGTCCAAAAGAGGATTTCCACTTTCCCACAGATCATTGTCACTGACCATGTCCCATGAACTGCCTTCTTCTATATTACACACAAATTGAATAAACGGCACATGAGGCAGTAGCATGAGCGTGGAAACTGACAGCATTACAGAAAAAAAATTTGATCTTCCCATACTATGTTCATCATGATTTCACATCTCAACAGCCCAAATCACAACATAAGAAAAAAAAGAGGAAAAATATTTCCCTTGATCTTCACAGATCACATAATATCCAAATGAGTCAGTAACTTCTACTAACAAATTCTTGAGACCATACCAGCAATGTTCTGTGAAACTGATGCTTGAACACTCTCTAGCTTTTGAAGGAAATCTGGGCTATCAACTCTCGACTTCAGAAGATCGCATAACTGTGGAACCAGACAGAACAAAACTAAACCACGGAGTTGCCTAAAAAAGAACAGCATCTGAATCTATTTTCACACATAAACTAAGTGAGCAAGTCATTACAATAGTCATCTGCTGTGAAAACTAGTTCACTTAAATTGGTACAATGATTAATGAGAACGGGCAGAACAGCTTCCAAAACTGTGGTAGGGGAATAACAAGTAAAAAACTTCTATATCACATAGGAACTTAGGACTGATGTGCTAAATGAACAATGGCAGTAGCACATTAGTAACCACATAGAATGCCACAATGATTAAAAGATGTCAAATCTATAAATAACAAAAACAATTATAATAGTAATAATGGATGAACTAAAGACCTAAAAAACGAATCACCTCATCTGCCTCAGAATCACAAGCCGGTGCGGATGATGAGCACTCATAGTTCTCCCCCACATCCTTATGATCATCTCCAGCGGCACAGGCATCACTGTCAGAACAACCGGCAGAATTGAGGAGCTCAAGAGCTCTCTGGCACTGCTGGAGCACCGCCTCCAGTGTTTGTCTCTTCACCCGAACAGGATCCCTCTCCTCTGTACGGGCTTTATGTGATCGGATCTCCTTCTCGTCCCCGCCGGTAATCTCCATGCCCTAGCAATTCATAACCACCGTACACGCGGCAAGGGTGAGATAATAAAGCAAGCTAGGGGTTTGAAGTCGAATCTTCTTCCTCTAGTGTTTCCCGTCTCATACCATTGATGATGATGAAG